AGTGTTTGGATTGCAGGCGTGAGACCCCACTCCCGGCCCAGATAATGTTATTGATAGGATTTCTTTTTCTGATCCAGAGTCCGGTTCAGGATCACGTCTTACCTGTGCTTTTCAGGTGTTTTTAGTTTCCTTTAATCTAGAATGTTTCCTTAATTTTTCTTTGTCATTCATGATACAGACATTTTTGAAGAGGATAGACCAGTTGGTTTGCAGAATGTTCTGCAGTTTGGGCTTTTTCGTGTATTTTTTAAAGACCTTTTTTCGACTCAGCGTTGATTGGTGGCTACTCAGGCCATAGGAGAGTCTGAGTGCTAGGAGTGTAAGTGCTGTGAGAGACAGGATTTCAGCCTTGAGTCATTTGATGAGGTAAGGACAATCAGAAGTAGAATAACAGAGAAGAGCAAAGGAGGCCACAACGTTGTCTGAGGGCAGTCTTCGGAAAGGAAGAGGGTAATATTTGGAACACCTTGTTTTCCTGTTTTCTGCTAACAGACTCCTGAAATAATGTTCCTGGGATTCTTGTCAACACATCTATTATTACAGTAGCTAAAGCTTTGATATAATAACTCAGAGAGCATGAGTATTATTTTCTTATTGACATTTTATTTTTACTGCTTAAATTGATATGTATTTTTTATTTTCAAGGGCCAGAGCCTGAAGCTGAGAGCCAGGAAGAGGTTCGCCCGACGCCCGATTATGAGCGTGAAGATGGTCCTGATGTCCAGGAGATGAGCCTGCCAAATCCAGAGGAGGTGAAAAGGCCTGAATAAGGTAGGCAATCCATTAGACATGCAGATCGTAGGGTGTCTGTTTCCACAGTATTGTATAATAATAATAATAGTTATTTTTTGAGACAGAGTCTCGCTCTGTCGACCAAGCTGGAGTGCAGTGGTACCACCTCGGTCACTGGAACTTCAGCCTCCCGGGTTCAAGTCATTCTCCTGTGTGTGCCTCCCGAGTAGCCAGGCGTACAGACGTGCTCCACCGTTCCCAGCTAATTTTTGTATGTTTAGTATTGATGGGGTTTTGTTCCGTTGCACAGGTTGGTCCCGAACTCCTGGCCTCGGGTTATCCACGTGCCTCGCCTTTGAAATTTCCGGGATTACAGGCGAGAGTCACGGAGCCCGACCCAGCATTATATTTTTAATAGCAGAGAAGTAACAGTACTGCCTCTGTAATACTAGAGTTCTTATATAGAAAGGTTATTTGAAACGTAGTTCAGGCCCCAGCACCCGACTGATAGGCTGTCAGATATAGAAACAAACTGAGTCAAAGCCATGTTGAATGAAGATTTGAGTCTAAATCCTTGAACCAATAGCTCATAATTTTCAGATGCTTTTGTAAAGATCTGCTTTTAACAAATACATAACACATTTGTAACACCCATCACTTGGTGTGAAAAATGCCGAAGCACTGATGCGGGTTCTAATACCAGCTCTTACAGCCTTGGCGAGATGCTGAGTGAGTCCTTTCACTTCTAAACCTGTCTTTGGTTCTTATGAAAATAGTGAGTTGAAGTCAGAGATTTTAAAACCATTTTCCCTTCTGGTTCTTTCATACTCTGATCCTGTTGTATAGAATGCATGGGATACAGAGATCATCTGCTTCGCATGATGTGTTGATCCCAAATCATGAAACCCTGGCCTGAGTCATCTGAAAATCTCTAAATTGAGATTTCATTGCTACTAAGAAAGTGAGCGGTCACTCTGCTTCATCTTAGTTTTTCCATGTGGAGAGCTGAATACCTATCGTAGTATCTTGTCAAATTGTGAATTCTCCCTCCTCTTTGTTTGTTTGTTTGTTTGAGACAGAGTCTCAGTCTGTCACCCAGGCTGGAGTACAGTGGTGTGATTTCAGCTCACTGCAACCTCTGGCTCCCTGGCTAAAGCAGTCCTCCCACCTCAGCCTCCTGAGTGGCTGAAAGTATATGCACAAGCCACCGTGCCTAAGTTGTTTTTTTTTTTTTTTTTTTTCTGTTAAATTAAAAAAAAATTTTTTTTTGTCGAGATGAGGTCTCACTATGTTGCCCAGGCTGGGATTCTCTGGCTTTTAATGAACAATTGCTTTTAAAATCTTTCCTCACGGAAACCTTGAGTGATGAAATTATCAACTGGCGAGAGCCCGGTTAGTTCCTATCCTCTGTGGCATGTAGGTCAGTGATGCTCAGCATGGGTGTGAGTAAGATGCCTGTGCTATGCACGCTCCCTGCCACACTGTCAGTCTTCATGAGCCAGTATTTCTAATAAGACTGTTGACACATATGTGATATAATCATCTCTCACCATATCAAATGTTACATGTAAGTTTCAGCTTTAGAGACATGGATTGATCAGATTTAAAGTTGAAAGACCATGACTTTAGGACTTCCTGACTAATCAACTGAAGTATGTTTTACACTTGTGTTTTCCAGATTCCTGACTGTGAATTGTAAGTGCTTTTGAATTGAAAGGAAGCACTGGATGTTTAGGGAAGAAATTACCTTTAAATTCTACAGGTCCGTCCTCAAAGTGTATTGAGGTTTAATTGGATGTAAGACACAGGACCACCCTTTGGGTTTTGTTTCTAGTCCATTTAACAAAATCCAAACTGTAGTGTGTTTTGTATGCCTTTAGGGTCATTTAAATAATCTGTTGCTAAGTCACCTTGCTAATTGTTATGTTTCTGTTACAGGTGAAAAGCAATGACAGTGTTAAAAGAAGACACGCTGAAATGATGCAGGCTGCTCCTATGTTGGAAATTTGTTCATTACAGTTCTCCCAATAAAGCTTTACAGCCCTCTGCAAAGAAGTCTTGCGCATCTTTTGTGAACTTTATTTCTAGCTTTTTGATGCTGTGAGACATGTATCATTCTTTGAAATGTTATATTCCAACTGTTTGAGCTGGTATGTAGACACATCATTCTTTTTTCTTTCTTTCATTTTTCCCTTTGGCGACAGAGTCTCGCTGTGTCACCCAGGCTGGAGTGCAGTGGCGCGATCTCTGCTCACTGCCACCCCCGCCTCCCGGATTCAAGCAATTCTCTGCCTCAGCCTCCCAAGTAGCTGGGATTACAGGCGCCCACCAGCACTCCCGGCTAAGTTTTGTATTTTTAGTAGAGATGGGGTTTCACCATCTTGGCTAGGGTGCTCTTGAATTCCTGACCTCGTGATTCACCCGCCTCGGCCTTCCAAAGTGTTGGGATTACAAGCGTGAGCCACCATGCCCGGCGGAGACATAATTCTTATATATTGGTTTTCTATCCAGCAGCCTTGTGAAATATGCTTATGAACTCTAAAAGTTTATTTCTAGATCATTTTCAGTCTTCAACATACAGAAACATATCATCCTTCAATAAGAGCAATTTTATTTCTGCCATTTATTTTTCTTTGTCCTTTTGTATTGTTTGGTGAGACGGGGTTTTGCCATGTTTCCCGTGCTGTTCTTGGACTCCTGAGTGCAAGTGATGCACCCGCCTTGCCTCCCACAGTGCTGGGATTACAGGCATGGGCCTCCGCACCAGGACTGTTGCTGCCGTTGTAAAGACTTTTATTTCCTTTTCTGATTTTATGGCATTGCGCAGACCCACCTGTTCCATGGTGATAGTGGACATCCTTGTCTTATCCCTGATGAGAAACGGAAAACTTTCAACATTTCACTGTCATATTTACTGTCCTTTTTTTGTAGACGGACTTCTTCAGAGTAAGTCATTCCATTCTGTTCTAAATATGCTGAGCGTATTCATTTGAATCTATGTTGAGTTTCATCAAACAGTGCATCTATTTCGACCACAGCATTTTTTCCCATTCATCTGTTAATATAGTGAATTCGATTGATAAAATTGGATGTTTTTATGCTCAATTTTTAAAACTTGAGACAGGGTCTCACTCTGTCATCCAGGCTGGGGTGCAGTGGTGTTATCAGAGCTCACTGCAGCCTTGACCTCCTGGGCTGAAGCGATCCTCCCACCTCAGCCTCCTGAGTAGCTGTGAGTCTAGGTACATGCCACCATGCCCAGGTAATTTTTTGATGGCTTTTTCTTTGTTTTTTGTAGTTTTGAGATTTTCTGATGTTGCTCAGGCTGCTCTCGATGGAAGTCCTCAGCTCAGGTGTTCTGGCCAGCACAGCCTCCCAAAATACTAGGATTACAGGCGTGAGACTTGGCCTGATCAGGTTTTTCTTATATAGGGGTCTTATCTATATAAAGACTAAACTTACCTGTACCTTTGTGCAGGTGGACAAAGACTTGCATGATGAAATTTATCATTCTGTTGATTTAAAGACAACTATCCTTGACTTACCAGTGTGTAAGTCCATGAGAGCATAATTATGTTGAAAGCATATATTGTTGGGTGTTGGGAACCCTGCAGTTTCCGCTGCTGTGGGAGCATGTCCTTGGAGGTACCTTTCGTCTGTTTTCTCAACTCCAAACATCTTAGGACCATGGGTTGTGACTGGTAGGACTATGTATCTTGCTAGTTTCAAGATGGAGTTGATTTTCACATGGTGCCACTCTGGCTGTCCCGTTTCCCTAATACTGTCACTTCTCCTTCTGTGATTCTGATTCTAAAAGGATAGATACCGTTTTAGTATTTCTTTACAGGTCCTAGAGATTGTATTCATTTTTCTTTCAGTCTCTTTGTGTGACTTGTTCACATTGAACAATTTCCTTGTGGGGTAGGTTGCTATTGCTGTTTTTGCAGGTGGTCTACCTGTCTTTCCAGGTAGTCACCGTGGTTCTTGTCCCCATGGTGGGGCCAGGGCAAGAGAGGACCCTGGGTTTGTGTGTGTGTGTGTGTGTGTGTGTGTGTCGGGGTCGGTTCAGTTGAAAATCGAGTGAGTTTTGAGGGGAGCACTACTTGAGGTATTCGAGTCCCAGAAGCATAGGAAACAGCAAAGGGAGGTTGGATTCCATTATCCTCAGTGTGGATGGGAATCGGGGGTTTGGGGCATGGGGTTGGGAACGGCAGCCCGCCCAGGCCCACAGCCGCGCATGCTCTCTGGGCTCCCTTCTCAGTGCGCATGTTCACTGGGCGTCTTCCGCCCAGCCCGTTAGCCCACGTGAAGAACGCCAGGGAGCTGTGAGGCTGTGCGGTCTCGTTCTTGCCGTCCGGAGTCTTTTTCCCCTACTGAGATTCGTCTGGTAGGTCTGCAGGCCAGTCATAACGGGGGCTGAAGTGTGAGTGAGGGTGAAGAGGGCCTCGGGTGGGTCCGGTGGATCCCGCTTCCTGGTCTGTGGCCTCTGAGGGAGAAGGACCTCGAGGTCGTCCTCCTTCTCTTCTCAGGCTACCAGGCGACCATCGACTTTGTGGTCGTGAGGGGGCCTGGACAGGGAGGAAGGTGGTCCGCAGAGGGAAGGCGGTCAGGGGCTCAGGTGATGATGGGGTGAGTGCTGTTTGGGGGATGGAAGTCCCGAGGTGCCGAGAACCCCCGACGACACAGGGCAGATCCCGAATGGGGTGCCCGGTGGGGGTGAGGCAGTCGGTAAAGAAGGAACCTGGTACCTGGGAAGGCTACGGCCTGGTGAGCGCCCCCCAGCGGTGTGGAGTGTGGAGCGCCTGAGTGAGAAGCACTGCAAGGTCTCACGTCCGCCATGGAAGGTCCGGGAAAAGTGGGAAGGAGTGGGCGAGGCAGTGCGGTGCAACCAAACTTAATGTGAAAGGGGGTGAATGGCTCTAGGAAGCGGGAGTTGCCCAAAGCAGCCATCACGGGAATTGTGATTCACTAGTGTTTTCGTGGGGAGTCCGCTTGTGAAACTAAACCTCATCAGAAATGACCTCTATCTGCGGGGCACAGTGGTGCTCGCCTATAGTCTGAGTTACTCGGGACACAGAGGCGGGAGGATCCCTTGAGCAGGAGGTCGAGGCTGCAGTGAGCTGTGATTGCGCCCCTGCACTCCAGCCTGAGCAACACAGCGAGACCCCGCGTCCAAAGGAATTTAGAAAAAAATGTCCTCTGCCTCTTGCCACACGCCTTAAGATGACTGCTCTGCCAGCTTGGCCAGCATAATTGGCTTTGTAGGCACTTAGAAAACGTACACACGTATGCTTCACTCTGGGACTTATTTTGAGAGTATTTTCAAAATTAAAACGACAAGTTAACATTGATCCATGGAAGAGATCGAATATAGCAGCCCTCTGGAGCGCATGTTCCCAATCACGGTTGTCTGTTTTCAGTGTGAAATATGAGTTGGCGAGGAAGATCGACCTACCGGCGTAGACCAAGACGCTATGTAGATCCTCCTGAAGTGATTGGGCCTATGCTGGTGAGCGCTTAAATATTAATTCGATGTTTTCTATTAGCAGAAATGAATTTTTGCGATAGTGTTGTTGCATTAGTATGGAAATGCTGAGAAACGTCTTTCCTGCTGATAAAACATGATTATGGCGTCTCATGAAGGAAACGTTGATTCTGGAGGATTTTTCGTTTTTCCTCTCGTGTTCTTCAGCTCTTGCCCATGACTTCTTTCTCATGCTTTGTTTGTTAATGACAGATCGTACACATGTATTCCAACACAGAGTATAATAGCTTCCAAAGTCCTTGTGCGTCACTTTTCTCACAGTAACCTCCCTATGGGTAGAGTAACGTTCTTGGCCATAGAGAATAGAGTTGGAAAAATGTCTTTAGGCTTAGTTATGATCAGAAATAGCTATGTATTCTGTGTATATATATGTAAAATTTTGTATCAATAGCAAAACTTGTTTTTTTTTCTTTATTTGCACACCCACACATATTCCCCAGCCCGAGCAGTTCAGTGATGAAGAAGTGGAACCACCAAAACCTGAAGAAGGGGAACCAGCAACTCAAAGTCAGGATCCTGCACCTGCTCAGGAGGGAGAGGATGAGGGAGCATCTGCAGGTCAAGGTGATGGAAAGGGAAGAAGAATGCCCGCTGGTGTGTGTGTCTGAGTGTGTGCGTGTGCATGTGTGTGTGTGTGTTATGCATTGTCACATAGCAGGAACAGGAGGAAAGAAATCAGTGGAAAGAATGCCTGAAATTGACTGGAAAAGCCAGGAGGCTATGTAGTTTGCAGCTTAGCTTAGGCAAATCCCTCACTGTGATAAAATTTCTCGACCTTATGAATGAGAGAATAGAGGTGCCGGGATTGACTGGTGAATACACAATTTGTACTTTGTTCCAAGGTTTGTGTCTTCCCATCATCTATGTTGCTATAAAGAAGGAAAGATTTTGCTGAAAATGCTTAAAACGCAAATGCTTTTCTGTAAGGTAGCTTAGTACTGGCCCAAGAAGAGACCCAGTTCAGAGGAGCAGGAGCAGCTCCAAAAACCGAGTCACTGAATGTTGGCCACCGTTTCCTTTGACTGATATTTTTATATGGTACGTTTGATAAAAGCTGGATAAACGAGAATACTGCCATACAGGTAGCTGGTTTAGTGATTTTCTAAGTGGCTTTTAGGAGGTGATTAAATCCTTTTATGGTTGGAAAAGCAGAAAAGGAGTTATCCTGGGATTAACATGAGGTGGAAATAATTTCTCCGAGATAAAATGTTTTGAAAGGAAACATTTATGTAACTGAGGTCATGGATTATTCCAGGGATTCATTGTTAAAAGTTTCTAGAATATGACTGATAACAATTCCCATTACTTGCTGTCCACCCACTCCCTTATTCTCAGTGTGGGACAGTATATTTTGTGTGATTCACAAACAATGTTATATTTGGTGCTTTGTTCTTCACGGGGTTCATTTATGGAATATTACATTTGGGACCTTCGGACCTAAATATAACTTTGTTTGAAGAAAGTTAAGTTTCTGTTTATCCCAGTAGGTAATGGGTGTCATGACTGTAAGATTTTCCATAGCCCTCAAATCCGTTCAGCTAATCAGTCCTTCAGAAATTGACATTGTAATTGTAACTGAAATCCTATCCATGTTGTAGACTTCAGATTTCTTAGGTGATGCACAGTGCTCTTGGTACTCTATGGCTGAATATAAGCATTATGCATGTCCTGTGGTTTATCCTCAGATTGTCATTTAGGAGAAAGGTCTCAAGCTGGGCTGAACGCCGTGCACTCATAGTCCCAGCTACTTGGGAGGCTGAGGTGAGAGGATCGCTTGAGCCCTGGCGTTCAAGCCCAGCCTGGGAAACATAGCGAGATCTCATCAGTAATAAACAAACAAACAAACAAGTAAATAAATAAAGGTTTCATGGTATAGGAAAACACAGATTCAAAGTTTGTGCCTAGTGGCTGGTAATGTTGCAGACATAACTCCTTAGTGAACTGTACCACTTAAAAAAAGACGGTAAGTTTGAGGATATGTGTATTTTTTTACCACAATTGAAAGAAAACCTCCTCTCTTCCTAAACTTCAGTGTAGTTGTCATATATTCTTTAAAATTTTTACTGTGTCTATATTCAAGACATAACAGTTATAGAAAATTTGCAAGAATAGTACAACGAACTCATATACTTTTCACCTAGATTCACCAGTTGTTAATAGCTTTCTCTCCGTAGGTTTTATATCTCTTCCCTCCCTCTCTTACCCGGCTGCCCACACACTCACACACACCCACACGTGGATATATGTTTACTGTTATTAATGCTGACTTGTTTAGATAAAGTTTCAGGTATCATGGTCCTTTCCCCTATGTACTCGAGGGTGTGTATATCGTCAGCACAAAGAGAAAGTCATTTCTTGGATCATCACTGCAGAAAGATCAAAATCAGGAAATTTAACAATGAGAAAATGCAGTCATTTAATACGCAGTGCATACTCAAATTTTGCCAGCTCCCCAGACAACTTCTTTCTTCCTTTCGTTATTCTTTGTTGAGACGGAGTCTCCCTCTGTTGCCCAGGTTGGAGTGCAGTAGTGCGATCTTGGCTCACTGCAACCTACACCTCCCGGGTTCTAGGGAATCTCACGCCTCAGCCTGCCGTGTAGCTGGGCCTACGGGCGCCGGCCACTGCTGTCTTGAACTTCTGACCTCACCTGATCTGCCCACCTTGGCATCCCAAAGTGTTTGGATTGCAGGCGTGAGACCCCACTCCGGGCCCAGATAATGTTATTGATAGGATTTCTTTTTCTGATCCAGAGTCCGGTTCAGGATCACGTCTTACCTGTGCTTTTCAGGTGTTTTTAGTTTCCTTTAATCTAGAATGTTTCCTTAATTTTTCTTTGTCATTCATGATACTGACATTTTTGAAGAGGATAGACCAGTTGGTTTGCAGAATGTTCTGCAGTTTGGGCTTTTTCGTGTATTTTTTAAAGACCTTTTTTCGACTCAGCGTTGATTGGTGGCTACTCAGGCCATAGGAGAGTCTGAGTGCTAGGAGTGTAAGTGCTGTGAGAGACAGGATTTCAGCCTTGAGTCATTTGATGAGGTAAGGACAATCAGAAGTAGAATAACAGAGAAGAGCAAAGGAGGCCACAACGTTGTCTGAGGGCAGTCTTCGGAAAGGAAGAGGGTAATATTTGGAACACCTTGTTTTCCTGTTTTCTGCTAACAGACTCCTGAAATAATGTTCCTGGGATTCTTGTCAACACATCTATTATTACAGTAGCTAAAGCTTTGATAAAATAACACCGAGAGCATGAGTATTATTTTCTCATTGATATTTTATGTTTTACTGCTTAAATTGATATGTATTTTTTATTTTTAAGGGCCAGAGCCTGAAGCTGAGAGCCAGGAAGAGGTTCGCCCGACGCCCGATTATGAGCGTGAAGATGGTCCTGATGTCCAGGAGATGAGCCTGCCAAATCCAGAGGAGGTGAAAAGGCCTGAATAAGGTAGGCAATCCATTAGACATGCAGATCGTAGGGTGTCTGTTTCTACAGTATTGTATAATAATAATAATAGTTATTTTTTGAGACAGAGTCTCGCTCTGTCGACCAAGCTGGAGTGCAGTGGTCCCACCTCGGTCACTGGAACTTCAGCCTCCCGGGTTCAAGTCATTCTCCTGCGTGTGCCTCCCGAGTAGCCAGGCTTACAGACGTGCTCCACCGTTCCCAGCTAATTTTTGTATGTTTAGTATTGATGGGGTTTGTTCCGTTGCACAGGTTGGTCCCGAACTCCTGGCCTCGGGTTATCCACGTGCCTCGCATTTGAAATTTCCGGGATTACAGGCGAGAGCCACGGAGCCCGACCCAGCATTATATTTTTAATAGCAGAGAAGTAACAGTACTGCCTCTGTAATACTAGAGTTCTTATATAGAAAGGTTATTTGAAACGTAGTTCAGGCCCCAGCACCCGACTGATAGGCTGTCAGATATAGAAACAAACTGAGTCAAAGCCATGTTGAATGAAGATTTGAGTCTAAATCCTTGAACCAATAGCTCATAATTTTCAGATGCTTTTGTAAAGATCTGCTTTTAACAAATACATAACACATTTGTAACACCCATCACTTGGTGTGAAAAATGCCGAAGCACTGATGCGGGTTCTAATACCAGCTCTTACAGCCTTGGCGAGATGCTGAGTGAGTCCTTTCACTTCTAAACCTGTCTTTGGTTTTTATGAAAATAGTGAGTTGAAGTCAGAGATTTTAAAACCATTTTCCCTTCTGGTTCTTTCATACTCTGATCCTGTTGTATAGAATGCATGGGATACAGAGATCATCTGCTTCGCATGATGTGTTGATCCCAAATCATGAAACCCTGGCCTGAGTCATCTGAAAATCTCTAAATTGAGATTTCATTGCTACTTAGAAAGTGTGCGGTCACTCTGCTTCATCTTAGTTTTTCCGTGTGGAGAGCTGAATACCTATCGTAGTATCTTGTCAAATTGTGAATTCTCCCTCCTCTTTGTTTGTTTGAGACAGAGTCTCAGTCTGTCACCCAGGCTGGAGTACAGTGGTGTGATTTCAGCTCACTGCAACCTCTGGCTCCCTGGCTAAAGCAGTCCTCCCACCTCAGCCTCCTGAGTGGCTGAAAGCCACCGTGCCTAAGTTGTTTTTTTTTTTTTTTTTTCTGTTAAATTAAAAAAAAATTTTTTTTTGTCGAGATGAGGTCTCACTATGTTGCCCAGGCTGGGATTCTCTGGCTTTTAATGAACAATTGCTTTTAAAATCTTTCCTCACGGAAACCTTGAGTGATGAAATTATCAACTGGCGAGAGCCCGGTTAGTTCCTATCCTCTGTGGCATGTAGGTCAGTGATGCTCAGCATGGGTGTGAGTAAGATGCCTGTGCTATGCACGCTCCCTGCCACACTGTCAGTCTTCATGAGGCAGTATTTCTAATAAGACTGTTGACACATATGTGATATAATCATCTCTCACCATATCAAATGTTACATGTAAGTTTCAGCTTTAGAGACATGGATTGATCAGATTTAAAGTTGAAAGACCATGACTTTAGGACTTCCTGACTAATCAACTGAAGTATGTTTTACACTTGTGTTTTCCAAATTCCTGACTGTGAATTGTAAGTGCTTTTGAATTGAAAGGAAGCACTGGATGTTTAGGGAAGAAATTACCTTTAAATTCTACAGGTCCGTCCTCAAAGTGTATTGAGGTTTAATTGGATGTAAGACACAGGATCACCCTTTGGGTTTTGTTTCTAGTCCATTTAACAAAATCCAAACTGTAGTGTGTTTTGTATGCCTTTAGGGTCATTTAAATAATCTGTTGCTAAGTCACCTTGCTAATTGTTATGTTTCTGTTACAGGTGAAAAGCAATGACAGTGTTAAAAGAAGACACGCTGAAATGATGCAGGCTGCTCCTATGTTGGAAATTTGTTCATTACAATTCTCCCAATAAAGCTTTACAGCCCTCTGCAAAGAAGTCTTGCGCATCTTTTGTGAACTTTATTTCTAGCTTTTTGATGCTGTGAGACATGTATCATTCTTTGAAATGTTATATTCCAACTGTTTGAGCTGGTATGTAGACACATCATTCTTTTTTCTTTCTTTCATTTTTCCCTTTGGCGACAGAGTCTCGCTGTGTCACCCAGGCTGGAGTGCAGTGGCGCGATCTCTGCTCACTGCCACCCCCGCCTCCCGGATTCAAGCAATTCTCTGCCTCAGCCTCCCAAGTAGCTGGGATTACAGGCGCCCACCAGCACTCCCGGCTAAGTTTTGTATTTTTAGTAGAGATGGGGTTTCACCATCTTGGCTAGGGTGCTCTTGAATTCCTGACCTCGTGATTCACCCGCCTCGGCCTTCCAAAGTGTTGGGATTACAAGCGTGAGCCACCATGCCCGGTGGAGACATAATTCTTATATATTGGTTTTCTATCCAGCAGCCTTGTGAAATATGCTTATGAACTCTAAAAGTTTATTTCTAGATCATTTTCAGTCTTCAACATACAGAAACATATCATCCTTCAATAAGAGCAATTTTATTTCTGCCATTTATTTTTCTTTGTCCTTTTGTATTATTTGGTGAGACGGGGTTTTGCCATGTTTCCCGTGCTGTTCTTGGACTCCTGAGTGCAAGTGATGCACCCGCCTTGCCTCCCACAGTGCTGGATTACAGGCATGGGCCTCCGCACCAGGACTGTTGCTGCCGTTGTAAAGACTTTTATTTCCTTTTCTGATTTTATGGCATTGCGCAGACCCACCTGTTCCATGGTGATAGTGGACATCCTTGTCTTATCCCTGATGAGAAACGGAAAACTTTCAACATTTCACTGTCATATTTACTGTCCTTTTTTTGTAGACGGACTTCTTCAGAGTAAGTCATTCCATTCTGTTCTAAATATGCTGAGCGTATTCATTTGAATCTATGTTGAGTTTCATCAAACAGTGCATCTATTTCGACCACAGCATTTTTTCCCATTCATCTGTTAATATAGTGAATTCGATTGATAAAATTGGATGTTTTTATGCTCAATTTTTAAAACTTGAGACAGGGTCTCACTCTGTCATCCAGGCTGGGGTGCAGTGGTGTTATCAGAGCTCACTGCAGCCTTGACCTCCTGGGCTGAAGCGATCCTCCCACCTCAGCCTCCTGAGTAGCTGTGAGTCTAGGTACATGCCACCATGCCCAGGTAATTTTTTGATGGCTTTTTCTTTGTTTTTTGTAGTTTTGAGATTTTCTGATGTTGCTCAGGCTGCTCTCGATGGAAGTCCTCAGCTCAGGTGTTCTGGCCAGCACAGCCTCCCAAAATACTAGGATTACAGGCGTGAGACTTGGCCTGATCAGGTTTTTCTTATATAGGGGTCTTATCTATATAAAGACTAAACTTACCTGTACCTTTGTGCAGGTGGGCAAAGACTTGCATGATGAAATTTATCATTCTGTTGATTTAAAGACAACTATCCTTGACTTACCAGTGTGTAAGTCCATGAGAGCATAATTATGTTGAAAGCATATATTGTTGGGTGTTGGGAACCCTGCAGTTTCCGCTGCTGTGGGAGCATGTCCTTGGAGGTACCTTTCGTCTGTTTTCTCAACTCCAAACATCTTAGGACCATGGGTTGTGACTGGTAGGACTATGTATCTTGCTAGTTTCAAGATGGAGTTGATTTTCACATGGTGCCACTCTGGCTGTCCCGTTTCCCTAATACTGTCACTTCTCCTTCTGTGATTCTGATTCTAAAAAGGATAGATACCGTTTTAGTATTTCTTTACAGGTCCTAGAGATTGTATTCATTTTTCTTTCAGTCTCTTTGTGTGACTTGTTCACATTGAACAATTTCCTTGTGGGGTAGGTTGCTATTGCTGTTTTTGCAGGTGGTCTACCTGTCTTTCCAGGCAGTCACCGTGGTTCTTGTCCCCATGGTGGGGCCAGGGCAAGAGAGGACCCTGGGTTTGTGTGTGTGTGTGTGTGTGTGTGTCGGGGTCGGTTCAGTTGAAAATCGAGTGAGTTTTGAGGGGAGCACTACTTGAGGTATTCGAGTCCCAGAAGCATAGGAAACAGCAAAGGGAGGTTGGATTCCATTATCCTCAGTGTGGATGGGAATCGGGGGTTTGGGGCATGGGGTTGGGAACGGCAGCCCGCCCAGGCCCACAGCCGCGCATGCTCTCTGGGCTCCCTTCTCAGTGCGCATGTTCACTGGGCGTCTTCCGCCCAGCCCGTTAGCCCACGTGAAGAACGCCAGGGAGCTGTGAGGCTGTGCGGTCTCGTTCTTGCCGTCCGGAGTCTTTTTCCCCTACTGAGATTCGTCTGGTAGGTCTGCAGGCCAGTCATAACGGGGGCTGAAGTGTGAGTGAGGGTGAAGAGGGCCTCGGGTGGGTCCGGTGGATCCCGCTTCCTGGTCTGTGGCCTCTGAGGGAGAAGGACCTCGAGGTCGTCCTCCTTCTCTTCTCAGGCTACCAGGCGACCATCGACTTTGTGGTCGTGAGGGGGCCTGGACAGGGAGGAAGGTGGTCCGCAGAGGGAAGGCGGTCAGGGGCTCAGGTGATGATGGGGTGAGTGCTGTTTGGGGGATGGAAGTCCCGAGGTGCCGAGAACCCCCGACGACACAGGGCAGATCCCGAATGGGGTGCCCGGTGGGGGTGAGGCAGTCGGTAAAGAAGGAACCTGGTACCTGGGAAGGCTACGGCCTGGTGAGCGCCCCCCAGCGGTGTGGAGTGTGGAGCGCCTGAGTGAGAAGCACTGCAAGGTCTCACGTCCGCCATGGAAGGTCCGGGAAAAGTGGGAAGGAGTGGGCGAGGCAGTGCGGTGCAACCAAACTTAATGTGAAAGGGGGTGAATGGCTCTAGGAAGCGGGAGTTGCCCAAAGCAGCCATCACGGGAATTGTGATTCACTAGTGTTTTCGTGGGGAGTCCGCTTGTGAAACTAAACCTCATCAGAAATGACCTCTATCTGCGGGGCACAGTGGTGCTCGCCTATAGTCCGAGTTACTCGGGACACAGAGGCGGGAGGATCCCTTGAGCAGGAGGTCGAGGCTGCAGTGAGCTGTGATTGCGCCCCTGCACTCCAGCCTGAGCAACACAGCGAGACCCCGCGTCCAAAAGAAATTTAGAAAAAAATGTCCTCTGCCTCTTGCCACACGCCTTAAGATGACTGCTCTGCCAGCTTGGCCAGCATAATTGGCTTTGTAGGCACTTAGAAAACGTACACACGTATGCTTCACTCTGGGACTTATTTTGAGAGTATTTTCAAAATTAAAACGACAAGTTAACATTGATCCATGGAAGAGATCGAATATAGCAGCCCTCTGGAGCGCATGTTCCCAATCACGGTTGTCTGTTTTCAGTGTGAAATATGAGTTGGCGAGGAAGATCGACCTACCGGCGTAGACCAAGACGCTATGTAGATCCTCCTGAAGTGATTGGGCCTATGCTGGTGAGCGCTTAAATATTAATTCGATGTTTTCTATTAGCAGAAATGAATTTTTGCGATAGTGTTGTTGCATTAGTATGGAAATGCTGAGAAACGTCTTTCCTGCTGATAAAACATGATTATGGCGTCTCATGAAGGAAACGTTGATTCTGGAGGATTTTTCGTTTTTCCTCTCGTGTTCTTCAGCTCTTGCCCATGACTTCTTTCTCATGCTTTGTTTGTTAATGACAGATCGTACACATGTATTCCAACACAGAGTATAATAGCTTCCAAAGTCCTTGTGCGTCACTTTTCTCACAGTAACCTCCCTGTGGGTAGAGTAACGTTCTTGGCCATAGAGAATAGAGTTGGAAAAATGTCTTTAGGCTTAGTTATGATCAGAAATAGCTATGTATTCTGTGTATATATGTAAAATTTTGTATCAATAGCAAAACTTGTTTTTTTTTCTTTATTTGCACACCCACACATATTCCCCAGCCCGAGCAGTTCAGTGATGAAGAAGTGGAACCACCAAAACCTGAAGAAGGGGAACCAGCAACTCAAAGTCAGGATCCTGCACCTGCTCAGGAGGGAGAGGATGAGGGAGCATCTGCAGGTCAAGGTGATGGAAAGGGAAGAAGAATGCCCGCTGGTGTGTGTGTCTGAGTGTGTGCGTGTGCATGTGTGTGTGTGTTATGCATTGTCACATAGCAGGAACAGGAGGAAAGAAATCAGTGGAAAGAATGCCTGAAATTGACTGGAAAAGCCAGGAGGCTATGTAGTTTGCAGCTTAGCTTAGGCAAATCCCTCACTGTGATAAAATTTCTCGACCTTATGAATGAGAGAATAGAGGTGCCGGGATTGACTGGTGAATACACAATTTGTACTTTGTTCCAAGGTTTGTGTCTTCCCATCATCTATGTTGCTATAAAGAAGGAAAGATTTTGCTGAAAATGCTTAAAACGCAAATGCTTTTCTGTAAGGTAGCTTAGTACTGGCCCAAGAAGAGACCCAGTTCAGAGGAGCAGGAGCAGCTCCAAAAACCGAGTCACTGAATGTTGGCCACCGTTTCCTTAGATTGATATTTTTATGGTACGTTTGATAAAAGCCGGATATACGAGGATACTGCCATACAGGTAGCTGGTTTAGTGATTTTCTAAGTGGCTTTTAGGAGGTGATTAAATCCTTTTATGGTTGGAAAAGCAGAAAAGGAGTTATCCTGGGATTAACATGAGATGGAAATCATTTCTCGAGATAAAATGTTTTGAAAGGAAACATTTATGTAACTGAGGTCATGGATTATTCCAGGGATTCATTGTTAAAAGTTTCTAGAATATGACTGATAACAATGCCCATTACCTGCTGTCCACCCACTCCCTTATTCTCAGTGCGGGACAGTATATTTTGTGTGATTCACAAACAATGTTATATTTGGTGCTTTGTTCTTCACGGGGTTCATTTATGGAATATTACATTTGGGACCTTCGGACCTAAATATAACTTTGTTTGAAGAAAGTTAAGTTTCTGTTTATCCCAGTAGGTAATGGGTGTCATGACTGTAAGATTTTCCATA